GGAACTGAAAGGCTCCGGCCAAACACAATGACTACTATCATAAGGATGTACTAGCCAAACTAACGTGACTCGGGGATGCCCAATCGTCGCTATAAAATCGTAGGCCTTCAATTTCTTCGAAAATACTTCGAAAAGAACCAATTAAACAGGCTACCCTCGACATAGGAAAAAGAGCTTCGACCATGTCCGATCCAAACTATAGGCTTTGAGATACTCAGCCACCGAGCCAAACCTCCCGAGGTGCTCGATCATCGCCATATAACAACTCACAATCGAGGTTTTTATCAAACCATCGAAGAATCGGGCAAACACAACTTCAAAAGTCCTTAACGAGGAAAAAATAAAGCCTACTAGAGGTCATACCGACCCAATGCGTAAGAGCCACTGTCGCCAGCCCATACTAGAGGTCATACCGACCCAATGCGTAAGAGCCACTGTTGCCAGCCCATACTAGAGGTCATACCGACCCAATGCGTAAGAGCCACTGTTGCCAGCCCATACTAGCGTGTAAGAGCCACTATCGCCAGCCCATACTAGAGGTCGTATTGACCCAATGCATAAGAACCATTATCGCCAACTCATACTAGAGGTTATACCGACCTAACGCGTAAGAGCCTAAGAGCCAGCTTTAAAATTCAAAAACTTAAGGGTCAAATGAGCTCGAGTCGAAACCCGACTCGAAGACTGAACCCGAAACAGTTAACTAAATATGCCTAAGAGCAAAAGCATAAGAGCTTCAACACTAGCTTATACTAAAAGGTCGTATCAACTAAAGTGCGTAAGAGCCTACGGGCCAGCCCAATGAGCCCCAGGGCCATACTATAAACCTAAGGGTTCTATCTGAAAACTAGTTCACCTGGCCAATAACTGGAAAACATCGAAGCAAAGGGAAGTGTATGAAAAATGAAACCGCAAGGCTTCCTTTTATACATATATGCGAAAAAATACAAGCTCCATTCACAATGTTCTTTGAAAATACTATACACGAAATCAGAAAGGGAAGGCCTAATCTACGTCCCCTTCGAGGACTATGGCTCGTCAGCCTCTTTCTCGCTATCCTCGACATCGGACAGAATGGACCTAGCGCCATGTTCATCCGCCTTTGCCTGCTTCACCTCTTCCGATAGGTCAAAGCCCCTAACATGTATCTCCTTGAGGGTCTCCCTTCGAGATTTGTACCGAGCATATTCCTTGCTCCTACTCTCACGGTCAAGAGCCCTTCTCAGCTTAGCTCGAGCATCAGCAACATCCTTCAAATAGATCGTCACTTTCTTGTTAGCCTTAGTTTGGCTCATTACAGCTTCGGCTCGGGCATCCACAACTTCGGCCTTCATCTTCAAAAGCTCAGACTCAAGCTTGGTAACCATATCCGTTCGGACCAAGTTGTTCTCACGAGCTAAGAGAAGTTGAACCTCGAGGGCAGAAGCTTTAGCCAAAGCACTTTTCTCCGCTATAGTATGAGCATCCGCCCGAGCCTTTAACTCAACGCGCTCACGTTTGGCTTGACCAACTTCACTCCAAAGGCATTCCAGGTCCCCTGTCTTCTTCTGCAACTAAAATAAACGAAATGTCAGCCTCAGGGAATAGGGATAGAAAAGGGAACATGCGCCCCATCTAGAGCAAAAATTACCTGTTCCTCGAGGTAGCTTTCGTAGTTCAGGCTTCAACTCACCTCGCATCACAAATGCGCCAACTCGTTTTCTCTCTCATCACAAAGAAGCCTGAGGGACTTCTCCCCATCCACGGCCTTTCGCAGCATGGCCTCGCAACGGAGCAGCTCTGACTTGAGCTTGTTAAAAGCCTATGACAGGGAAACTCGGTAAGAGAGTAAAAATTACAAAACTATAAAGTCAACACGGACGGCCAAAACTCACCTCAGAATAGAGCTGCTAAGCTTTCTCGAAAGTTGAGCGCACATCTACTAGTCTGGCTCCATATACCCCGAAAGAACCGCTCCTGGTTGAGGCGTGATCGCTGAGTGTATACGGCCCCTCGCTTCGAACATCCCTCGAAGTACCTTCGATGGGGTAAGAAGTCGGTGGCAGGAAACCCTCATTCCTCGAGGTACCTTCGACGAGAAAGGAAGATGACAACGGAGGTGAAACCATTTTTCTAAAGCCAGAGATCTCGGGCGCTGCAGGCTCAACCGACAAATCCTCTTCGAGCCCCTGGCCTAGACTCGTCTTGCCATAAGCATCAGCAACTTACGAAGGCCCTTTTTGCTTATTATTATCATTCCGTAGCCTAGAAGCTGGCGATCCTTCTCCCTCTCCAAGAGGGCACGGTCTCACCTCAGAGGACTCCCCGATGCCTACGATGACGGGGTTAGTACATGTAAAAAGAAAGTGCTTTCCAAAAAAGGATCAAGTCAAATAGCACGTACCGTGGTGTTTGGCCTCCCATCTGCCCTTAGACAAAGCTCGTCACTCACGCTCATTATAAGTCGAGCAAGTCGCCAGCTCCCGAGCCCAATCCGTCAGGTCGGGGACCTCGCACGACGTCTATGAAATTGTTGCAGAAAGGGAAGGGAAGGTGCATTTACGGAACCAGCCTGCGCCATAAGCAAAACTACAAAGGCACAAGTATATCATTTACGCGTAAAATTCCATGCCTCGAGAAATGGCAGAAACTCCACAGGGATAACATCGACAGTTCGTACTCGGACGAATCGGCTCATCCATCCCCGATCCCTATCTTGTCCACCATTAACAACGAAAGGCGTGGTAGATCGGCATCGTAGGGTCAGCAGACCCCGATGGTGAAAAGGCCGATACAGCCTGATGAGATGACTAAGAGTGAATTCGAGCCCTGCTTCTTCCGCGAAGAACCTAATCATCAACATTATCCTCCAAAATGTCGGGTGAACCTGCGCCAAGGTAACCTGGTACTTTCGACAGAAGTCAAGCATAACCCTATCAGGGGGTTTTTGGGAAGATGTACCAACAGAACTGCCTTGGTCGCTTCATAACCGTGTCATGCAATTAACGCCGCCATACAANTTTTGTAAAAAAGAAGATATGCTCTAAGGAGCCATTTATATCATTATAAGCCTCGAGATGGTACCCGATCTCGAGGACCTCTGCCAGAAAGAAGATATGCTCTAAGGAGCAATTTATATCATTATAAGCCTCAAGATGGTACCCGATCTCGAGGACCTCTGCCAAAAAGAAGATACGCTCTAAGGAGCCGTTTATATCATTATAAGCCTCGAGATGGTACCCGATTCCGAGGACCTCTGCCAAGAAGAAGATAAGCTCTAAAAACCTACTCATATGGGTTTGACCTCGAGGTGGTACCCTACCTCGAGAATTTTTGCTATTGCAAGTGCATACCGTCTACCCGATTTTCTGGACTTGAGAAACCTAAGCTCGAGCCAACTCCTGCTCAAAAACTACCAATAAAGCCTTAGGGCTATCTTTCACCTTCGGATCAAGTTAAACGTTTTCTCGGTTACTTTAACCTAGGGGCTATTCAAGTCCAGGCGTACCCTCATCCGGGGTCTATCTGCAACGCCTTGAGGCTATCTTCTCTCTAAGTTCAAAACAAGTTTCCAGGTCGCCCGAGTTTGAGCGAACTCTTACTCGGGGACTGTTTTCGAAAGCCTACAGGATGTCTTTATTTTGAGATGTCCGAGCAAGTTCCCCTCGAGGACAATCACTAGGGTCTAAAAGGCTAAATTTCGTTCTAAAGATGTCGAAGCCCTATTCCTACTCAACTCGAAGTTAGGGGCCCGGGAGGCCTGAGTTTGTCAATGCAGTTGGGGCTCAGTCCGAGGATCGGCAAGGGGTTCCACGGGATATCTTATTGATCAACTAGGAACCGGGGAAATACTTACACCCGGGCTCGGTATTCGTATCGATCGGTAGACTTATGCATTTAGATTTTTGACAAACGCAGATAAAGGGAAATATAGCATAAATCAGAGACAAATAGAAGAAACATCTTTGTATTCATAAACGCATGATTACAAAAGCCAACGAAGGGTCCTCACACATGATTACAAAAACCCACGAAGGGTCCTTACACAAAAACAAAGAAACAAAAGCAACAGCTAAAAGTTTAATCTACTCTCGAGGGTACATCCTCGGGAGCAGCGGGAGCAGCGCCTTCAAGATCGAGGAGATAGATATCGAAGTCGTTTCTTATCAGTTCTCTCTAAGAAACGTGGGGACTATCTATATACGCTAAAATCGGAGGGTCCAATTTTCGGTCACTACGACACTTCATAAGTACGTTTCTATAGGCTCGAGATTACAGTCGAAACTAACACCCGAGGGGTTATCGACGTTCAGCCTCGAGGCAGTGCGGACCGATTAAGTCATGATGAAAAGGTGGGAGGCTCCTAAGGCACTCGACTAGAGCTAATAGAGTCTAGTAGGCTAGTTCAAACCCGAATCGGGCATTAAATGGTTGTACCAGCCCTATATCTTTTCAATAAATGCATTTATACTATATTGGGATTCCTCCTGGTATATAAAGGGGATCCTTGTCATTTTGTAAACCTCGGTTACTCAATATTGAATACACAAGAACATTCTCTCTGCTCTCTAACATATTCTCTTGATCTCATTACTTGCATTTATTACTTATATTCATTGTGTTCCATTTATTGTTCTTCATTTATTGCTTATTATTGGCCATAAAGAACCGTCATTGATTTTATTATAACTGTTAGTCATCCATCGACTACCCTCGACGAGGCATCAGACTCGACCCCAAGGTCCCGAATAAGCAATCGAGGCCCCGATTGTCGGCCATTCGATCTGGTTATCATCTTGTTTTCAAGCTCTTATCTTATTTTCAAGTCTTTCACTTAGCATCTATTACCTAAACAACCAGCATAAAAATAGATCACCTATTTTTAGAATCACAAAATTAAATCTAATTGTAATTACCATTTTCAGGTAAACACATTCACAAAATATTCGAATAGAACCAAACCATACATTATCAATTCGTCAATTTCTTTTAGAACAATACCAGGTGGACGCCACAAAGAATTTCGAAGCCACACTAAGTTTCTCCAATATATAAAATTTTATAGACAACAAGAAATATTACAATTGTTAACATCTAGGCTTTGATTGTGAGTGTCCACTTTTCATTATTACCTTTGCTATCAACATATTTAGAAATATTCCATATGAACACCAATTGCATTTAAGAAAACACCACTTTTGCCATGAAAACCAACGATCTTTCCTCTAGCTGCTGAAGAGCTAAAATAAGTTCCAATTTCAGTTCCATAGGGTCCATATTTTCCTTTATTTGTATAAAATGCAATCTGTCTAATTGCGTCTAGGCCCCCATTATCATCCACCGGACTATAAAATCCTTCAATTCCAATCAATAACTCATTTTCACCGTCAACATTTATCTGCATATCAAATTTCAAACTAGTTAGAATCGACTACATTTATAAAAGTAATTTCATTTTTTAGATGATTAATTATAGATTACTTTTACGAACTATTGTAGCCTTCCTTCTTTATTTAGTCTTGAGATTAAAAGAGAATATTAATTCATACCTTTCTTACTGTATCATTCCCAGCTCCAAGACCACCATGAAGTTGGGACCAAAATGATGTTTTATCTTTCTTTTCATACTCAATTTGAATTCCTGATATAGCTGAGATATGCAAGTTCATATAAATGTGCACTTGTTTAATAGTAGAAAATACTCCGTCGTCCCAACCTTTTCCACTATATCCGCCCCAAGGTCCAGGACTTCGTGGCACTATAGTCTTCATCACATCCATTTTCTGTTTGCAATGTGATAATGTTAAAAAAAAAAAAAGGTGAAAATTATATCGTCATAAATATCATATTACAGTAACTGAACTTTATCAAATATAACGGTAAATTAACTAAAACTTACGATTATTATCTATACTATATTAAAAGCACGAAGGCCCTTAGCGAAATGTCGTTCGCTTTTTTTACCCTT